CAATTACAATTCAGATTTATCTTATAAATGCAAAGATTGTACCCAACCTCTTATTAATCTGAAATTAAAGAAAGAAACTATGGAAATGATAGTAATAATAGCAATATTGTTTGAAAATAGAATCATGGGCAAAAGAGTGACCTTCTGAAGTTGGAGGTATAGAGGTATCAATTTGGAATTTGGAGAATGTTTCTAAAAGAGGTGACATTGGGGCCAAGTCTCAAAGATTGACTAGGAGTTGATAAAGTTAGTAGGAGAAGGGTGGTATAGGTAAATTATATATCCTGTGCAAAGGAAATGTGAAAATTTCTTTTCAGTAAAAATAAGTGGGTAACTGGATGGGAAGATACTTAGGAATGAAGCAGAAAAGGAAGAAGTTGGGGTGGAATGGGGACTTGATAGTATTAGGAAAGAATGGCCTGGGGGGAAAAGATTCTTGGAAGCATTGGAAAGCATTTTATTTATTGAACTTAAACAATCAGCAATTACCAGTAATAAAACCGATATATGTCTGATCCCTTTTCTGATACCTCTTTATTTTTTATGCCCTCCAAGCCTCTTGTTTTCAAGTAATTGACATTTCATGTTAATTTTAATTAATTAACATTTTTCATTTCATGCTAATTTCAGTTAATTAACATTTTTCTTTACATACTTCAGACATCCAGTATAAATATTCTTCCTAAGTACCTTGACTTCATCAGGTCCTTTGGTTCATAGTGTTCCCATAGATTATCTAATTGAGGAATAAAGATACAGATTTTTTGCTATGTGCCAAAGAAGACAAAAATCCAACCGATTAGAAGGGTAAATTTCCATACTTGGAATCTTCATGTCCAGAAATCATTCTCCTTTGATAGCTTGTCTACAGAAAGTTTAAAAAGGCTAATTAGTCTGTTTTTCTAATGATAAAATAAAGCATAACTATAAGAAAGGAAATGTTTCAAGATTATTCATATGTTCTTTTAAACTAGAAATTTATGATGGTGAGAGCATTTTTGTCTTTTTTGATATTGTGCTTATGTAGTATCTTGCTTAAAGCAGTTGGTTGGTAATTAGAGGTAAGTATGCATAGTGGTCATAGTGGATTTTAGAGTCACTGGGTTTAAGCTCTGTCACTTACTTGTTGGATATCAGATAAATTACTTAATCTCTTTCAACCACAGTTTCTTCACTGGTAAAATGGGATTAATAAAAAGAACAGTACCTAGCTCATAGGGCTGTTATGAAGACTAAATGAGAAAATAAATTTGTTGGCATAAGACCTAGTATGTAGTATTAAATAAAGATTAGCTACTTGTAGAATTGAATTATTTTATCAGGTAGGGCAGTTTTTTATTATTTTATGAATAAGGAGATAGAATCAGGCTCCAGTGATAGAGTTGAGATGTCCTCCCAGGTCTTCTGACTCCCCATGTAGTGTAATACCAAGATTTTCTTACTATAAGAGTCTAGATATGCCTTTGTCTTCTAATTTTTCACAACTGAAAAATTCATACAGTTGATTCCATGACTCCCTAGTGACCTCATCATTACTCATGGCTTTGGGTATTCTGTAGATACTATTCTGACTCCTGCATCCAACACTTTTTATACCTCTACTGGTCTTATCTTGAGCCAAGCCAACGTCATCTCTTTTCTGGATTATTACAATATGCTGATAACTGCAGTAAACATTTCTTGCTTCTGTTCTTAATATAAATGATACTTTTACAGTACTAGATCTTGTAATTCTCTGCTCAGAAAGCGTGAATGGTCTTCATCACACCTAGAAGAAAAGCCAGAATCTTCTCAGGGGACCTTGTTACCTGGCTTCTATTACTTTTTGTTTCAGTTATACTAGTTTTTTTGCAGTTTGTCAAACATTGTAGGCACATTTCTGCCTCACTTTTTCCTCTGCTTAGAATATTTCTTTCCATATACCCACATAGCTTAATCCTTTATTTCCTTTGGGTCACTTTATCAATAAGATCTTATGTGATGACACTGTTTTAAAAAAATAACAGTAATTCTCCCCACCTATATTCCTATTTATTTGTTTGTTTATTATCCATCTTCCTACACTAGAATGTAAACTCATTCAGACTGTGATTTCCATCTGTTTTGTTTATTGCTATTATACTCAGCTCTTATGTTTGATGTATAATACGAACTTTAGAAAACATTTGGTAAAGAAAGCAATAATTGTGGTTGGAAACTAAGAGGTGGAGTTTTCTGTGTTTTTTCTTCCAGTAGAAATTGATTTGAAAAGAATTTTATTCTAAAGAGTTGAAATAACTAGATTGAACTGAATTTTTTTATTTACTTGTTGCCTTGGGCAAATCATTTAGTCCCTGAGATTTAGTTCCTTTGCCAGTTAAATGGGGAATCCTGATATGGTTTTTCTATGGTTAATAGATACTCTAAAAAATAGTGGTTATATTTATTTTTATTCTGTGGCAGGACTTTTGCTAAATTTGGGGCAGATTTCTCATGCATAAAGGAAATCATGTGTAATATTCTGAGATGATAGTCTTTTTTTGGCAGGAGCTGCAGCCTATTGAATTCAAAGATCAGTCTGAAATAAAAACTAAGCATTGCTGAAGTTTCAGCGTAAGGCATTAGAAACTTTTAAAATCTAACATATATTGTGTTTTTGTAATATTTTTTTGTACCATCTTATGGGAAGAGTGTTGGCTTCAGATCCAGATATACGTGAATTTAAATTCAGCATTTTCCACTTAATATATCTTTATGAAAGTTATAAAGCTCTATGAGCTTTTGTTTTCACATCTGTAAAATAAGAATAATACCAATCTAACTGAATGATTAGGGGAGTTAAAATGACAAATTGTATGTGAAATTCTAACATAATGCCTGGTAACTAACAGGCCTCAGTAATTGTTTTATCATGAATTTGAAAATTCATATACAAAATATGAGTAAAGTACTGTTATTACTGTGTCGGAATTATTCCTTTCAGAGCAGTGACCTCAAGACGTTATCTATTTATTCTCACGATTCTGTGATTGATTGGAATAGTTTTAGAACTCAACTTTTGAAATTGTCTTCCATATTTTTGATCCATTCCACTGAAATTCTCTTTCTGAAGGTGGGTTTTTTATTTTATTTTATTTTGAGACAGAGTCTCATTATGTCACCTTCGGTAGAGTACTGTGGCATCACAGCTCGCAGCAACCTCAAACTCTTGGGTTTAAGTGATTCTCTTGCCTCAGCCTCACAAGTAGCTGGGACACAATGCCCAGCTATATTTTTGTTGCAGTTGTCATTGTTGTTTAGCCTGGGCTGGGTTCGAACCTGCCAGCCCGGGTGTATGTGGCCAGTGCCCTACCCACTGAGCTACGGGTGCCACTGGATTTTATTTCTTATAGTAATCAAAAAAACTGAAAGTTAAGTTTGAAACCAATTTTGGGGGTAAGTAGCATTAGAATAAGACTAAGTAGCAAGACTTTTGTTATCTTACATTGGGTTCTAAAGATAATATTTGATGAGTGTTAAACATTTATCATTATAATATTGTTGGAAGTTAGTACATAATCTATAACTGTTAAGAAAAGGGACAGTTATGTCCTGGATATGTAAATACTGATTGGTTTATTAAAAACTTATTCCTTATAAGTTTTATTTCTTAAATAAGCCCTTATTTCTGTGTGTTATATATCCATAATTATATTATTCACTTAATATCACTAATTTATTCCTTTATTCTTATAAAAATGCATTTTTAACTTACCTCTTTAGCGATCACCAGAATATACAAATTGCCGGTATCTATGCAAACTTTGCTTAATTCACATTGAAAATATCCAAGGAGCTCATAAACATATAAAGGAGAAGAGACATAAGAAAAATATTTTGGTAAGTTCTTTTAAAAATTTTATTTTTCAAATGGTAAATCTATATCAAATAATTTGTATTTTTGAAACTAAAAATGTGATATTTGTCCAGTTTGTTGTATTTGTAGCTGAAATGGTAACCTTGAAAGTTGTGATTGTTTCCCTTGTCTCAAGTGGTCACAAGGGTAATCTCCTCAAGACCAGTTAGCTCATTCTGAAGAATGTTATTTCCTAAGTTTAAAGCTATCAGGTACAATCACTCTGTCTAACTGATACTGAGTTCTTGTGTGCTAGGTCTAGGCAAAAATGAATAAGATAATGACAGTTTTTGCCCTCAGAGTTTCTAAGAATTGGTGATAGAATACATTGAGTAACATTTTAAGTATAATGAACCTCATTAAAGGGGGAAACATGGTGCTAAGGAAGTGAACAAGGATATTTACTTGCTCCGTAACAGGGAAGATTTCTTTGAGAAAGTGACATTGAGTTGAACCTTGAAGTAGTAGTTTAAATGACAAAGAGATGAGTGACCTAGAGAATTAAGTAGAGAGCAATTTATATAAAAAAAAAGCGTGAATGAAAGTCTTAGGCATGAAAGGACATGGCATATGAGGAACTGAAAGTCTGGTATGACTAGAGCAGAGAAAGGTAGAGAGAAAATGGTGTGGCGTGTAGCTGGAGAAGTATAGACCATTTAGGGCCTTAGAAGCTTTAGACCTTAGGAATTTGTAAATTTGGGG